TTTTTTTAGAACAAAAAAGTGACGAATATATACTTCATTGACATTGTATCCACAGTTAGAAGCATTGTCAATTAATCAATCGATCAGTTTCCAGCATCCTCCGGTCAGCCTTTCAGCATGAACCATAACCAGAGATATAATGTCACTGTGTCACTTTAAGGTGACGAATTGTCCCTTTTTTAACAAAAAAAGTGACATTATGTCACTTTCTGTTCTAAAAGCTACTAGCATGTTAGAAACTACAAACATGTTGTAGTTAGATACTAGTACTAATATTGATCAGCTACATAACCAACTTCCCTGATCCATTGATATAGTAATGAAAACATGTCCAAAACTACAAAAATTAACAAGTGAACCATTGTCACTTTTTTGTCCAGTTAGTCACTACATACATCAACTATCAACCAATTTATGTACATCCACAAAATATTCTAACAACTAAATCAGTCATTAGATAACAAGACATGTCTACTTCTTCAAAATCAACTTCTTCTTCTTCTTCAAAATCAGTCTCCTTTTGACACACATTCATTATATGTATCATAACCTTCATCTTACTTCTTCTTTCCATAAGCATATAATTCAACTGCCAAATTTCTTCTGACTTGCAGAATGTTAAATATTTTTGGCATTTCATTTAACTTTTCGTTAATGAAGTACTCGACATACTTAATTACATATATTCTACAATATTCACTGCATGCAAAAAAGAAAAGGAATTTAGACAATTACACACTTGAATTTCAAATGAAAACAAAAAAAATCTTTAGAAAGCAATCTAACTCGTTATTCTGCTGTGGAAGTTTTGGAACCATATTTACAACCAATAGTTTCAAAGTATCTTCTTCCGAAATACATTTTCCCTCAAAGAAGCAAGTATGAAAAAGAAGATGGGGAATTATATCAGAAAATGGTTTAACAGCCTCAATTACTAAAACTTTCCTCACAATCTTGTGATACGAATTATATCCATTAAGAAACATATGTTGGATGTCAAAATGACAGAGAATCCAATGGGCTGAATTTGACATTCGAATTTGCATAAGCACATGGTAAACAAGTCTCCAACTTGTATTATACGGCATATACAACCCGATAGCATATGAAAGAAGAGTCTGTTTTTTTAGAGCAACATAACTTGGCAAAATTCAGCATGAAGCCCTCTAATTTGGCTATCAAAAGGAAAGTCAGTGGTTGTAGCCTTTATGCTTATATCCTCTCCATGTCTTAACATCTTCCTCAAGTAATAGAAACACACATCAATATGCTACATAAAAAGGGAAAAATTAAAAAATCAACAATTGTACTAAAATTATTTAAAACAATGTTAAAACACCAACAAACAAAATAAATTACTGTGTCTTCAAGATATTCGTTCGGAATAAACAATTCGTACCACCACTGTTTCGTAGATACAACAATATCACCAAAAGTAGAATCAAGGATTAATAATAAAATTTTCATCATTGAAATGTTTATG